GTCAGACATAGCCTCTCAGTATGTATTGTAGTACCGATCAAAAAGTAAACTTTCCGATGTGAAACGACCCGAGGGAAAACTGAGCTCCATGCTTTTGGCCCTTTCCTTCAGTAGAGATTATGTACACAGGCTTACATAACCGAGACCTTCGTAAAATGAAGTCTGCTTACATTAGATTTAAAACATTTTATGGTATTGTATACGTTTATATAGTTTTTTTTTATGGTATTTTATAGCGCTTGTATTTGCATATTTTATCGTTGGACATTCTCACGCCCTAATTTGTACTTATATATGTGTATTACATTCGCTTTTTCCACGTCTTGAAAATGATCTCAGGGAGATCGAAACTTCGTTTTTTATCGCTAGTTTTTATTTTGAAATGTGTTTCAAAAAAATTCCTTATAATCCCATACTAATTTAGGGACACAAGATAGTGACAAAGTTAGGAAATTGTAGTTTTAGAAAAGTTTTAAGTTAGTTAAGCTACCTTGTAGGAACTTATCAATTTTTCAGCCTTGTATACTAAACAAGCTGTAATTAGGTGCATTTTAGATCTTCATTTGATGTTAACAAAGTAATGCTGTGAGTAGAGGTTTTAGAAAATAAAGTTTGAATGCGTTGTACCTGATCTCATAATAGTCTCAGTAAAGACGAATACCTTGATTATTGGCGATTTTTCGGGGTTGAGAAATTTCATGCGAAACTCCCTCTTTAAATGAACTTGTTTGTTTTTCCTTTTTTTCAACACTTGTTATACTATACCGACCTCTATACCCTGTTTTTTTTTTTTTTCATTTTGCGAGGGTTTTCGCATAAATTTCGTTGTGACAAAGAGATTTGTTTGGTGCGTGCGGAATGTTCTTTCTGTCGTGCAAAAAAGCATCTTTATGGTCGCAGTAACGAGGTATAAACATAAGCGAGAATGCTAGTTTATTTTGATTAAATCAGCTTCTTTACCAGCGAATACCTTTACGGAATGACTAGGTAATGCATGTGTGAGAAGTACATGTACATATAATACAGTTTTACACTAAAAGAAAATAAAGAAAGGGTTCTATGAGTTAAGGAAAGGAATAAATAAGACAAGCGAGAAATTAAATACGAAATGAGTACTGATGTAAACGGGAAAGCAGTCTGCACGACTAACACATGAGCTGATCTCGCTTCAATTCCTGCAAAATGAAAAGAGAAGAGTAGAAGTGAATCTATCGATATTAAGAACTATACAACATTTCAATAAGGAAAGCCTAATCTGAGTAAAACACAGAAGGACGTGACAGGAGCGCATAAGAATCGCCTCTCTAACTGACCGTTTACCTCCTCGTGTGCATTTATAAGAACAAAGTACACCTGCGTTGCAGTTATAAGTACTANATAATACAGTTTTACACTAAAAGAAAATAAAGAAAGGGTTCTATGAGTTAAGGAAAGGAATAAATAAGACAAGCGAGAAATTAAATACGAAATGAGTACTGATGTAAACGGGAAAGCAGTATGCACGACTAACACATGAGCTGATCTCGCTTCAATTCCTGCAAAATGAAAAGAGAAGAGTAGAACTGAATCTATCGATATTAAGAACTATACAACATTTCAATAAGAAAAGCCTAATCTGAGTAAAACACACAAGGACGTGACAGGAACGCATAAGAATCGCCTCTTCTAACTGACTGTTTACCTCCTCGTGTGCATTTATAAGAACAAAGTACACCTGTGTTGCAGTTATAAGTACTACTTTATGGAGACATTTCGCGTCCGAGGACCAAACGAACCGGCGATCTTTGTTCCTAAAGTTACTACGCAATGTAACGTACTAACATGACGTCACCCTGGCACGACTGTTGTTCAAA